ACTGTGCCTCGTTCTGGGGTCTATGAAAACACACTCCACAGATCCTAATCCGGAATAGAGGACCAGGGAGTAGGGCTGGGAGTGGAGATTGATGTTGAACCTGGGACTGGACCTGAGTGAGATGTGGGGACTGACCTTGGGGCAGGGTTTGAGGCAAGGGTAGAGCTCGGGTACTAGGCAAGGACAGAGGTTGGGGAGGGGGAAGTACTTGGGATTCCTGGGATATAGATGTATTTGTAATGCCATTGAAGAATACAAACATGGAGGAACGGCCATGTTTGACAAGAACAGTAGGGTGAAGAGACTCGCTGTGCAGAGATGGGAGACCCCAGAAGAGCTGCACATATTTTTGCTCAAAATGGTCCTCAAAGCACTTAGAGTATGGGGGCTGCTGATGGATGTGCTGCCCCTCTAGTTTGCCTTTACTGGCCCTAAAGGGAAAGGATTCTGCCAAGTCATGCTTATCAGCAATTGAGGATAACATTTTCTGTGAAGAATGTAGTTCGTAGTTTGGCCTAAGTTGTGTTGGGAAACATCCTGATTTCTTTCCATTTTCTTTCCACATCAGGAAATCACACCTTTCTTTGACTTGTCTCTCCAAGAGTGCCAGAATGTCATGGCTGACAAAAGAGATGTTAACAGGCTGTATGAGGTTGGCCACAGAGTGCCCTGCTAAAGAGGCCTCAGAAGAATGAAGGGTAAGAAGCTCCTCCATGAAATCAGATGGCACAAAATTGGAGGAAAAAGAGTCCTTGGCATGAGGATGCCACCAGGAGAATTCTGAAGATGCAGGGCATGAATGGTCAATGCCTTTGATTATTGGGGCATAGGTAGATGTCCCACCAGAGCCACCTAGAGATAACATCTCTGCAAAAGGCTTCAAAATGGTGAGTCTTGATTTCGACTGAGTCACAGAGCAGTCTTCCAGTGGTAAAGCAGCTGAGATTGGTGGTTTGTTATGATGAGCACATGAATCAGTGGGATTCATGGCCTGGGAAATATCTTGGCATTGGGTGGAGTCAAGTGAAAAGATGGTGTTCAGACAGAAACTGGCCTCAGGTTGGAGACTGGGCTCCACTCTCTGAATGTGACATGGTGGGAGAAGGGGAAAGGGAAGCTGTAGGGGTGAGGAATGGTCTACGGGGAACTTGGAACCCAGGGGAGAAACAGGCTGTGGTGGCAGATGGTCCCTCAGTGATGAGGGTGAAAACAAGTCAGCTAAGGAGGTGATCAAGTCAGGTGAGAGAATTAACTGGGGTGGAGAGAGCTTGGGCCGAGGGGACAATATTAGGTCTTCTGTAGGGGTTGCTGAGGGGGCAGACGACAAAGTGAACGATGACTCAGTCGCAGAACCTGCAGAATCCAAAGGGGACACAGAGGGAGCGGCATCTTTCAGGGACTCCCGAGACAGCAGTCGCTGGATATCAGCAGTTGCTCTGTTACACACCTGACAGACAGGGTCTGGGCATAACAGTCGATGAAAGCGGGTGGTATCATGACGCTGGCCCAGAGGACTGCAGGAAACAGGAGATCCAAAGCTGCAGCCAGGACCAGAACAAGGAAAGGAGAGTCTGTTAGCCTGGCATGGGTGGGGCCCCCTGAAGCCTGCTGCCCACATCACATTGCCCCCCACCCATGAACTCACCATATATGAGGTCATATGACCTCACTATAGCCTCTCCCCAAAGCATTCATTCACATACCTGTTCCTATGGCTACCCACTCCCAAAACTACAGCAGGCTACAAGGAATCCCTGAAATGAACAGAACATACTAAAGAAAAAGGAGGGGGTGGGAACAGAACCCAAGGGGAAAGATTAATCACCTTTTCAGAATAGAAAGCAGCTTCCTTTCCTCTTCCACTTCTCTCTGGAAACATTTCCGGTCTGGGAAACCAGAAGAGTATGTTATATGCAATGAACGTAGAGGCACAGGGATCATACAGAAGTCACTCTGTGGAAGACCCTTGGGATATTAAACTCTGATAGCCCCAAGAATCAGTAGAAAATAGTCCCTGATAATACAGTCATTGATAATAGTCATTGATAATATTCACAAGTTCACATGTGTATGTGGAATCATTAGTAAACTTCTTTCACATACATTACCCCATATGATACTCAAAACAACCATGTGAAACACAGACATCAGTGGTTACCTCCAAGAGGAATCCGAGCATCAAGGAAGTCAACATACTTATGCAAACTTGTGAGACAGAAGCTCTGACTCCAAGTCAACCAGTAGTCCTTCCTCGGTATCTCAGTTGGCCACAAATTGGGCAACACCCATCACTCAGGTCCATCACTCCATCATGCCCATGAATGGGCAGAGCAGGGCCTATAAGCAGTGTCTCAGGTCTCATTGCTTTCCCCTCAGCCTGTCTTCTGAGGGCTCTGTTTTCTAAGACTGTATCTAGTAACTTGACATTCTAGGAATTCATTGGACTGAGTCCTCATGAAAGACACAGAAAGGGTCACCCTTGAAGCTCAGATAGAGCAGACTGACGTTACCTTTAAATGTCCCACCTTTCCTTCTCCTCCTGGCTCTGCCCTGATGCTGAGGACAAAAGAAAGATAATGACAGACTGGGACTCACTTCTCTCACACTCTATGAAGTTCATTCATTCATTCATTCATTCATTATACAAGAATCATATGACTCTTTAATTACAGAAATACGTTCCTGTTGTCAATTTTTAACGGAGATAAAATATTTCCCATTTTCCCTTCTCCAAAAAATCCTCAAAGAGGATTTCTTCTGTGAGAGCCACACTTGATGTGCTGAGTTAGAAGTCCTCATCCAGGGCACAGACTCAGAGTCCAACAGTCACATCTGTGCTCCCTCACAGGGCAAGTGTCCCAGAGACAGACCCCTGGCTCCAGCCTCTGCTCAGAGACTCTCAGCATTACTTCCCTGTCAGCCCAACATGAAGGCTTTGTTGAATGACAGTTGACATGGGAATGTGACTCATGATCAAATTTCAGCAGAGACTGTTCTCCTTCAGAGAGCCCATACTCTCTAAATAATCCCATCTGGGACCACAGAATTACTGTGTTTAGGATTTTATCCTGAAACTCTCCACCACAGCCAGATAGGTAGTCTATGAGCTACAGATGGAAACCTTAGTCCACCTGAACCAATAAGTCTGCCCAACCTCTTCCACAGAAGAGTGAAGCTCTATCCTCTCTTCAGAGTTCCCATGTAAGACATGTCCCTGAACCAACCAGACTTATTTAGGAATGTGGGAATAGTATTGGGCAACAACAACAGGGCATCTCTCTTGGGTGTTCACCCACAGTTCCTTACCTTTTGGATGTCATTATTTTTTTCGGTGGGTGACAAATACAGGGTCAATACCAGGTAGAACAACACATCTAGATGTGTATAAGAGACAGGAGCTTGGGTATCAGGCAAGGACAGAGGTTGGGGAGGGGGAAGTACTTGGGATTCCTGGGATATAGATGTATTTGTAATGCCATTGAAGAATACAAACATGGAGGAATGGCCACGTTGGCCAAGAACAGTAGGGTAAAGGGACTCGCTGTGCAGAGATGGGAGACCCCAGAAGAGCTGCACATATTTTTGTTCTAAATGGTCCTCAAAGCACTTAGAGTATGGGGGCTGCTGATGGATGTGCTGCCCCTCTAGTTTGCCTTTACTAGCCCAAAAAGTAAGGGAGGCTGCCAAGTCATGCTTATCAGCAATTGAGGCTAACATTTTCCGTGAAGACTTTAGCTGGTAGTTTGGCCTAAGTTGTGTTGGGAAAGATCCTGCTTTGTTTTCATTTTCTTTCCACATCAGGAGATCACACCTTTTTTTGACTTGTCTCTCCAGGAGTGCCAGAATGTCATGACTGACAAAGGAGATGTTAACAGGCTGTATGACGTTGGCCACAGAGTGCCACCCTAAAGGGGCCTCAGAAGAATGAAGGGTAAGAAGCTCCTCCATGAAATCAGATGGCACAAAATTGGAGGAAAAAGAGTCCTTGGCATGAGGATGCCACCAGGAGAATTCTGAAGATGCAGGGCATGAATGGTCAATGCCTTTGATTATTGGGGCATAGGTAGATGTCCCACCAGAGCCACCTAGAGATAACATCTCTGCAAAAGGCTTCAAAATGGTGAGTCTTGATTTCGACTGAGTCACAGAGCAGTCTTCCAGTGGTAAAGCAGCTGAGATTGGTGGTTTGTAATGATGAGCACATGAATCAGTGGGATTCATGGCCTGGGAAATATCTTGGCATTGGGTGGAGTCAAGTGAAAAGATGGTGTTCAGACAGTAACTGGCCTCAGGTTGGAGACTGGACTCCACTCTCTGAATGTGACATGGTGGGAGAAGGGGAAAGGGAAGCTGTAGGGGTGAGGAATGGTCTACGGGGAACTTGGAATCCAGGGGAGAAACAGGCTGTGGTGGCAGATGGTCCCTCAGTGATGAGGGTGAAAACAAGTCAGCTAAGGAGGTGATCAAGTCAGGTGAAAGAATTAACTGGGGTGGAGAGAGCTTGGGCCGAGGGGACAATATTAGGTCTTCTGTAGGGGTTGCTGAGGGGGCAGACGACAAAGTGAATGATGAGTCAGTCGCAGAACCTGCAGAATCCAAAGGGGACACAGAGGGAGCGGCATCTTTCAGGGACTCCCGAGACAGCAGTCGCTGGATATCAGCAGTTGC